TAATCTATTTGTATAGCGCCGAGTTCCAGCTAGGCTGATCACAGGCGCTTAAGCTGTCTCCAAGCTAAAAATCTTAGAAATAGAGTTGTTCGATTTTTGGTGTTACAAATCTAATGATCAATGAAGGTGGAAAACATGATTTAGAAAAGTCTTTCCGATTATGTCCTTTGTGTATTTTTATAGTTTTGTGCCCAACTTTTAAGTTACTGCGAATAAAATATCTTGGCGAACATTATTTTCCTAATCTTGTCAGTTTTACCGTTTTCGCTAATCTCTTGACTAAAGAAATGAAACAATTTTGTCTTATCTTGCATTATATGAAGATCAAGCACTGAAACTAAGAAATTCTATTGTATGATTATTGTACCAGGTCATTGAATGTCAATATCCATGGTTATATTATTGAATGAATGATTACAGCAGAATGAATATGTTTACATATTGTATCTATGATTTGTATATAGGCCGATGTCCTTTCATGCAATAAACGCTTTGATTTTGACTTTGAATGACCGCCTGGGTCGTCTTGTCCGATGTATAACGTTTTACAGAAGGCATTTTGAACAGGAATATTTGGTGAGTGCGTGAAGTAGCAACTATGGATATTCTTGGCTCTGTGAATGCATACCATACTAAACATGTCCGGTGGCTTGTAGTAACTTTTAGTAACAAGCTGATAACAACCTACCTCCGGCCACTGGCCAATATCGCCGTACGTAAAGTCCGGGTTACTTTCAACAGACAGCTGGTCAGTAGATTCCATGTACAGGGAACAGATTCTGTTAATGAGTCCGAAGTCAAACGCCTTACAAATGCTAGAGCGGAGACAGTCACTGACGCAGCGATACAAGTCAGTTTTGGGGATCTGTTGAAATCGTGAAGTATCCCCCAGGAGTTTCCCAGTCAGGTATGCTGGGTTACAGACTGCTGTGGAATATGGTATCAGAAATGCCAAGGATGTAACGACAAATAGCGTCTTCATTTCTACTGACAGCGCAAGAATCAACCGCCAAACACGACTCGCGGCCACCAATGAAGATTAACTAGACTGGTTACACGGGTTATGCTGACTGAGCAGGCACAGAGAAAGCGCTGCGCGAATCTACATTTCATGGCACTAATTACGGTCAATACTTTCTACGTCGTTATAAAAAAAAGCTTATATGAGTAAATAAATCTGAATCGATTGATGTGTTGACACAAAGCAATTATCTTTCCTTTCTTATAGACTTCCGATACATGACCTCCATAGACCGTTGGAAATAAACAGCTGCACAAAGAGATACGTTAAAAGCCTAGTCTGTAGTAGCAAGCGAAGCCTCTACACACCTGTCTGTTTCACGGGCGCTGAAGAACAATTAATCGTTTTATCCTGATTCGGTTTTGTTGAAAAGACAAAGGAAATCATGGAAGAGTCAGTCACCTTAGGTCAGACATCAACACAACCGTTTCCACTTTAATGAACCAATATTTCGATTCTGAAAGACACTTTCCCAACACAAAAGCGCGGCTTCTTGAGAAAACACACCATCCTTGTAAGAGCTTTCATTGCTGTCGACTTCGAATGTCCAGAGGAAACCATTGGATTCGACTGCTGTTCACATCAGTTATACACAGATGTAATGATAATAATAACTAGGATTGCCTCCTGGGCAATACTGACGGTCTTCAGACTTCCCCGTACAGTCCCCGTGGCTACGTTTACTTGACACAAACGGAAAATTCACAAACTGCAGAAAAACAAACAGGAAGGCACAGTCAAACAAACCAATGGAATTGAGTAATATATACAGACATATACTAAAGGAGAGATTACTGAGTTAAGGAGGGAACTATTTCTTTGGGCATTGGAAAGCCAGGAAGTGGTGACTGTTGCTAAATTTTACGACACTTCCTTCAGTTATCTCACAACTGACAAAATGCGAAAATCCTAATGCCCCTCCCTGTTTGTGGCGTAATTGTGGCGCAATTGTGGCGTAATTATTGACTTTTACATAATGTGAAGCAAAAATATTCCATATTTCATTATCTACAGTTTGGTACCTTCAAAAATGAAATCCATTGTGTTTTCGCAGAGCTGTGAACCCTATAAAAATGCGTTTTGCCAAAATTGACAAACTTCCAAGGGCAATAACTCCAACACTATTTACGATATCGACATGCCTTGAACAAACTAGGTAGTCCGGAGTGTGGGCTTTAAAACAACATATAGAACACTATTGTACTATTTGCCGTTCAGGAGCAGAAGATTGTTAAACATAGGCACCGTCAAAAAGGTGCGGAAATGTGAAAATAGCGAAGGTTGTGTTTGTGTCGTAATGGTGACGTTATTATTGAGTTGTACTTAACCATAATGTGAAGCAAAAATGTTTCTCATTCAATTACCTACAGGTTGGTAATTTGGAAAATGGAACTCATTGTGTTTTCGCAGAGTTGTGACATTTGTTTTAACCCTATGAAAATGCGTCTTAGAAAAATTGACCAAATTCCAATAATAACTGATAACTCTTAAACTATTCAAGATATCGATATGCCTTGACGGGTTTCAGTAGTCCGGAGTGTGGGCTTCAAAATGATATATCGAACACGATTGTACTATATGTCGTACATAGGCACCGTCAAAACGTGAAAATCGGCAAAAAAAGTTTTTCAAAATAAAGCGGAAAATTTGACCTGCCGGCCAACTTCCGGTATGTGTTGAATCGACGGGGAATGGTGGTGTCTACATTGAGTGAAAATTTGGTCAATTTATCTCTTATAGATTTTGAAATATTGAGGTGTAAAGATTTTGACATTTGGGGTTGTCTGCCCTTACAGGAGGCCGGAAGTCTGGATTGTTTCGACTATGTATCAATTTCAGCACAGAGGCTATCATCCCTGAAAGTTTCATGAAAATCGACCAAGGAGTTAGTTCAGGAGAGCTGTCACAAAAATTGTACAAATAATAATAAGAAGAAGAATATTCGGATAATAACAGTATGTCTTCCAGACTTTCGTCTGAAAAATAAAAACAAGACCATTTTCAAACCATCAAATGTCCTTCTGGAACCAACTGCATGAAGAAAGCCAAAGACGTATTCTATCCTGTGCCGTTTAAAGAAATTCTAAAGACTTCACCGATTGACGGGTCGACAAAAATTAAGATAAGCCACGGAACAGTGCTTTACATTGCTTTGACATTTGGCCTTTCCAAAAATATTATATACACCACCAACATTGCATGTTACTGAATATGAATATTGCAAAGAAAAACATCGTTTTAACTTTTTAAAGAAAAAGTCAGTACCACAAAATTTCCAGACCGCCAATAGTTTCATTTTCCAGTAGATCACCATCACATCCAGATTTTATGGTCATATGAACGTGTTGCAGAACGTGAATTTGTATAAATTCCACAACCTATGGCTACCAAGACTCATCTCTCTACTGTCGACAATAAGAAAAAATATACATATGATTTTAAAAAGGGCCGAAAATATTGACATCAAGTTGCTGGGTCAGTTCGACCCAAAGTGGCTGTATATAACGGATGAATATGTTTGACACTGGGTTACACTGGTGTTCGATATTGTCGTTGCTAGAAGGCACAAACAGAGAAAGACAATACAAATAAAGTCCATTCTGACCCAGCTTGTGGTCATCCAAAGTGATGACCTACATAAAGACAATTGGGTTATTTTGTTCCTACTGTGAAGGCATCGCATGGCATGTGTATTGATTTGAGGTATTTGCAGATAACTAAACTACCGGACAAGAAAGTTATCATTTTTAAAGTCCGCTGGTACAGGTATGAACCCAAGCGGAAAACATCGTCCCGATAACAACGGAACTGTCCGGAAACGTCGTACAAATCGTGCATGTTTCACAACGTGAAAAACGTAATTATTGGACGTTGGTCGAAACGTACGTGTATCATTGTGGCACAAGTACCAATGTTGGACAGAGCAGGCATGCAGTAACCAAAACCACCCACGAAGACCTATGCAAGCGCAACGAGACAGGGCGATCGGTATGGCCAATATGGGGGCTTCACAACATCAGCTGACAGGAACCTTCAACTGCAACCAGGCCACCATCAGCAAGACCCAAGACCGCCCAAGATCGAGAAGACCAAGAGTCACGACACCGGCCGAAGACCGTTACATCCGGTAGGTCCATCTCTGGAACAGATTCGTGAAGGCGAAGTTAACGGCGACGACAGCACTAGGACACGCCATCAAACAGACGAACAGTCTTTCGACGACTTTGGTATGGCTGGTATACGAGCCAACCGCTCCTTCCGTCTACACCGGTGACTGCAATGGGCAAGAACTGTACGTCGGTGGCAGCGACTGGGAGAGAGAGCTCTTTGAGATGAAAGTCGGTTTAGTCGGCTCTGAAACGATAGGTTCGAGTCAGCGGGTTCTCCAGACATGAAACCCCCTGGGATCACCTTCAGCGTGTACCACCAACAGCGAACCGACAGCAACTTGAACAGACTCTCTTGGGCTTATGAAACAGGATTCCTGCTGACGTCATCCACCGACTGACGACGTCAATGAGGGGTTGGCGTGTATGGATGGCCAGGGTGATCACACTTGCTGTTGATGACGTACCTGCTGTCTCGTTATGTAACTCTTTATGCACTTTTTGAATGAACTCTGATTTATGTATTTCTTTTTAATTTTAACCCTTTATTACTGCTTCTTTAATGGGCGCAAGTATTGCTACCTTGCACGGGACCCGTAATCTTCAGCAACCCATGCTTGTCTTAAGAGGCGACCTATGGGATCGGGTGGTCAGGGTGATCGATGTTCATGATGCCAGTCACTGGATTGTCTGGTCCAGACTCTAATATTTACAGACTGTCTTCATGTAGCTGGATTATTACTAAGTGCGGTCGTAATTATAATTATTGATTTTGACGACAGTGGAAGAGCGGCAGAAACGTTGTGCATAAATATTGACACACTCTTACGAACACAGCAGAATAAATAATACAGAAAGATACAACACGGAGGAAAAAGAAGTTCATGTTTTTATTGTGTTACAAACTGGCATATGATCTCACGATAACCATGAAGCTGAACAGCGCTAAATATGCGATCTGACATGATACCGTAGCAGAACCAGACGGCGTAGTCGTGGGCGGTACTGGTGTCGTTGGTACAAAATGCGTTGAGACGTTGAGGGAGAGAACACCTTGCTTTGTATGGTCAAAGGTCCAGTAAATGTATCGCCACTCCTCTTGGACAGCATAAACGAACGTCAGGTCCTCTCCTGGAACGCCGACCACAGTTACAGACACGGCATCGGCTGTGACATTGATGCTCTTTACACGTCTAGGCGACATCGGCACGTGTTTCCACAATTCTCCCAGGATGATGACTTCTGTTTTCTTGGCTCTGGAAGGGTCAAGGACGACACCATATGATTCAGCATCAAACTACCTTTAAGTTACTACCGTATCATCCTTACTGGTATATGATAATGTTATTCATTGGGGAAGCTGTGGGATAGAATTGGTCCTCAGCCTCCAATGCTTTTTGTAAGAGGCGACTAACGGGATCCTCTGGTCAGCCTTCGTATCCTAATTGCACAGATCAATGTTCACGATGTGAATCACCATATTGTGTGGTCCAGACTCGATTAGTTACATGACTGTCATATAGCCGGAATATTGCTCAATGCGGCTTTGAACTAGGGTCGTTTGACGGCCCCATATAAAAACATGTAAAACATGACTTTGAAACATTTTTACCACAGATACAATGACTTGGTTGACACATGTCATCGTATCCCATTTGCGTAGATCGATGCTCGTGGTGTCAACTACTGTCTGGTTTAGACACGATGGTCATCAGAGCAGATTAATTGTGTAGTGCGTAAGAATCTATGAATTAAAGCTTTCTTTCAGTCAGTGTATGATACAATGTCTTACCCGACAGTTAGGACTGGTGATGTGTAGTAATTGGTGAAAAACCGGGGCACAGATGAACAGCAGAGGGAGATCTTGAAACCTTTTTGAACACTGATAAGGTAGTGACGTGCCCCAAGGCTGTACAGCTTGCTGTCTGGAAACTGAAACAAACAATAATTGTTGTGATTGAGGAATTCGATATCAGGGATTCTTGAGTGGGTGAGTTTAGACTTACGCCGCTTTCAGCAATAGTCCAGCAACATCACGGCAGGGGACATCAGAAATGGGCTTCACACAAAGTCTTCAGTTTGAAATATTAAAGAGTAATACGTAAACAATCCGTTTATCAAAACTTCGTGAATTATTTTCTGAATATTAGGCCCATTTCGAACATTGGAACTAAACCCAAACCTAACGTCTATAACCTACAATGGTTCATGAGAGTGAGTGAGGTATTACTGCCTAAGGTTACATCGGCAATCAGCCAGTTATTCGCCGCATCGTGGGTGTTTGTTAATGCAGTAATCTCTCAAGATATATCTCTGGATCTCAGTGTGACAAAAGATACATTTCTGGACAGAGACAGTATCCAACAATGCAACGTTTTACATATGTTGCTGTTTATGTGATAACGGCAGGTTTAAAAGATCGAGCATTACGTCAGGGCCAAACTGATCCGATATTGTCATGGTGTAGTTGTGACGACCTTCCAGGGAAGCGAAGAGGATTCCAAATGTGTATTTCCCGATGACGCTGTAGGTCGTCCACACCTCCCCCTTGGGTCCTGTGCTGGTGTTGAAGGCCCCCTGTGGATGGACATACAATGTGATGCAGGTTTAATCATATACATAGAATAGGCACAAATTACTTAAAAATTCGCTTTCACCAAGCTTTTATCACCGTCATGTATAATTATAGTTAATTTATTTACAAAAGTTACTTCAAAAGTTATCCTATTAAGGGTCTACACTGGTGGGTTCGAATCTCGATTCGAGCCATTTATATTTAAAGGTATCTAAGCATCATATACAGTACAACCAGAAATTATTAAGAATTTAAAGATTGTAAATTTTTTTTTCACTCATTACTCACGTATTAAATGTGAATATCACTAAACATAACTCCAAATTCAAAGACAGGTGAACAGTTAGTATTTTGTCAAGTCACCATGGGCAGCAATGCAGGCTTCAATGCGGCGGGGCATACTACTGATCAAAGACGTTAGAAAGTCGTGGTCCATGCTGTCCCAATATCGGACCACCTCTTCTTTCATTTCAGCAATATTTGTCAGATTTTTCTTATTGACACTTTCCTTCATAATCCCCAAACATTTTCTATTGGATTTAGGTCAGGGCTATAGCTTGGCCAATCTAATAATGTCATATTTTGGGTCCGAAACCAGGCCTGTGAATGCTTTGAACGATGTTTTGGGTCGTTGTCCTGCTGGAAAATCCAAACATTTCCATAGAACACGTGAGCAGATGGAAGTAAATGTCCCTTGAAAATATCTGTGTACCACTCACTGTTCATATTCCCTTCAAATACACAGAGGGGCGTTGCCCCTAACACAGATATGCCACCCGACACGTTAAATTTCGGACTGTACTTTGGGCGCTGATACAAAGGTTTCTCAGTTTGTTTGGTCCAGAATTTCATTGTATTAGGAAACAGCCACACAGAACTTTCATCTGAGAAAATCACATTGTCCCAGTTAAAATTTCTATACTGTAAGCACTAGTTCAACCTTCGCTCCTTTTGTTCAGGTTTCATGATCGGTGACCGGGTGTATAAACCTTGGAGTCAACTTTGTGTGCAGACTCTTTCAGTGTTGTCACAACCACTAGTGTACAGTACACAACCCTGTGCACTTAAAAGAACCCACGAATCCGTTGGTATTTGACCAGATGGTGGCCACATGAATACGTGCAAACACCTAGTTGCGGGTACAGCAACGTGCAGTGACCATGGACAAAGTACTGTGACTATGTGTCCCAGTCCACCCAGCTGTGAATGGGTACCTCGTTAGGATGAGAAAGCCACAATAACTCGGTGCGCCTAGAGGCTGCAAGAGTTGTATACTCCCCAGGGAGTTGAGATTGATAATGCGATGTGCCGTTGAGATTGACATCCAAAGATCGAGGGAAAAAATACCAGCGTGGATATGTGCGCTATATAAATATCCTATAATAATAATAGCTGGTCAAGGTTGTTTAGACTAGAAATCTAATTAAACATATTCCTAAAATTCTCAATAATTTCTGGTCATACTATACTTGCTTGTGGAATCGAACCAATCATACAGACAGTACCCCATCGCCAGTACATCTGGGTGTGTCAACACCTTTAAAACTGACTGTCAGTGTTAATCAAAGTCTGGCAGCACTACTAAATCTGGGTCTGGTCTCTCAACACTATTAAATCAAGGTCCGGTCTCTCAACACTACTAAATATGGGTCTGGTCTCTTAGCACTATTAAATCAAGGTCTGGTCTCTCAACACTATTAAATCACGGTCCGGTCTCTCAACACTACTAAATATGGGTCTGATCTCTTAGCACTATTAAATCCAGGTCTGGTCTCTCAACACTATTAAATCTGAGTCCGGTCTCTCAACACTACTAAATATGGGTCTGGTCTCTTAGCACTATTAAATCTGGGTCTGGTCTTTCAGCACTATTAAATCATGGTCTGGTCTCTCAGCACTATTTAAACACGGTCTGTCAGCGCCAGTACGTCAGGGTCTGTCAGCGCCAGTACGTCAGGGTCTGTCAGCGCCAGTACGTCAGGGTCTGTCAGCGCCAGTACGTCAGGGTCTGTCAGCGCCAGGCTCATGCTCAAGACAAAACTTGTCATTTTGTGTCCTTGGCGCTATTCACCAGGCCCTGACAAAAATACTGTTTGAAGCGACGCTAAAAGGCAACAACACACTCAAAAACTGAACGACCTTTGGAAACGGGTACCCAGCTGGGCTTTAACAGTAACGTTTTGGAACGGGGTGGTCAGGTTCCCCCAACTACGTTTCACGCTATGTGACTGGATGGTGTAGTCTAGCCTCCATTATGTATCCGCCTACATCACACATTGCTCCGGTCACGATATGGCTGAAATATTGCCGATGTGACGTTAAATAATAACTCACTCACTCACACATTGCTCGGTGGGTGTTACACAACTAACAAACAAACAAGCTGAACTAATTTAGTGTTATGATGATGATGGTGATTACCTCCATGATCTGAGCATCTATGGCCGTGGCTGGTTTTGATGGACCAAGAATCAGACCATCAGCATTGCAGCAACTAGACAATAAGGAAATAATGACAATTGAAGAAAGAATCGGTTGTAGATAACGGGGACATTTTACCAAATTCCTTGAAAAGCATTCAAAATTTGGTAAGACATGGAGTTATTAAGTATCTAACATACTTGGTGCTCCCCGTCTTAGTATTGCTAGAGAGGCGGTAGGGTAGCCTAGTGGTTAAAGCGTTCGCTCGTGACGCCAAGACCTGGGTTGGATTCCCCACATGGGCACAATGTCTAGCCCATTTCTGGTGTCCCCCGCCGTGGTGTTGCTGGAGTATTGCTAAAAGCGGCATAAAACCATACTCACTCACTACAATTGCTGGACTAGTGCTACTGCTGATACTAATGCCTTAACACATTCTAGTTTAAGATATCAGTTGAGTGAGTGAGTGTGATGGGTTTCGCGCCACTTTTAGCAATGTTCCAGGAATACCAGGGCAGGGGACACCAGAAATGGGCTTCACGCACTGTACCTATGTGGTGAATCGAACCCGGGTCTTCGGCGTGATGAGCGACTCTTTAAGCACTAGGCTACCCCACCGCCCCCAAATATCACTTGACCTGCGATACGACAATGTTATAAGGTTTCAGTGTACTATTCCATTCATAATCTGAAGTGAAACTACATTTGTCCAGGAAGGCTCGAGTAACATGACCAACTACATTACCGTCTTGCTGCACTGAAGGACGACGTGTTGATCTTGTCTCCCAGGCCGACACTGCCCGTACTCAGTGTGGCCACGATAGTCTCCAGCTCCAACTTCGTACCTTAAAGAAGCCATGCCATATCATATGTCATAGTGCTTGCGGCATGTGTTTGGACTACTGAGGGGAAGCTGTATTACATAGTGCTTTGTTACGCTCAAAGAGACTGTGTGATAAAGCTCTGTGATAATACATTGTCGGACAAAAGAAAGTAACACCAATGTTTGACGGTTGATGAAACGACCAAAATAATTTGATGTTGAAGAAGTTGATACGGGTATTACTGTTTTCAGCCGTGTGACGTTTTGTAATTTCCCTGTCAAATCCGATGTACAAGTTAATAGTTTTGAAAGCCTCTCAAACTCCCCCCAACCCCCAATAATGATATGAAACATTCAAAAGCATCTGGTTACCTTTTTGAAAGACGAGTACTTAGAATTATTCCATACTCTGCCCTTACCAGATGAGTTCGTGTAAGCATCGTAGTTTGTGATGAAGCTGTCCTTGAAAGGAGCAAGTCCAAGAGCATTTGCAAATATCGAGGTTATTCCTATCTTCCACTGATCCTTGCTCTTTCCAAAATCCTGACTCACCCTCGCCTGGATCAAAGACAAACATACGTCCATCATTTGGTAGCCTTGGAAAGTGGATAACAATGTCTGGGATAGTACCAGGTAAAACAGTCAGTGGTCACATGTATAAACCCAGGTAATGTGTGGCGGAGGGGGGTGGAATGGTCAGGCTTGGTGACTTTGCTTGTAGCGTGTTATTGTATCGGTGCTCATTGTATCACTGGATTATCTGGTCCAGACTCGAATATTTACTGATCGCTGTCACATAGATGGAATATTGCCGGGGATAGCTTTAAACAATGTAGAAACATTGATCACTTCATCGCAACATTCATTGCAACAATGGTTCGACACCGGGCACGAGAAGCCGGTCATGACAAGGGAGCTTTTCCAGAGCTGTGTCCGCTACCTATGCCACGATCTCAGATTCAACTTAATTTTGACACCTTTTGACAGCAGAATTTATGCCACGGGATGAACGGCAACTGCCAGGAGGTCCTCCTTTTCACGGACACGTCATTACATATCAAAAAATACTGTTGAAAACACCATTGAAACTCACTATCTCAACGTATTTCATCAAGATGAATATGTGTATGCTATATCTATTAATGAATAATATGATATGCCACAAACATGTTCAAGACATTTCTCAGTAAATGTGACCCGTGAAGATCCGGGTTAGAATTGGCCTTCAGTAACCCCTGCTTGTCGTAAGAGGCGACTAACGGGATCGAGTGGTCAAGCTCTCTGACTTGGTTGACACATGTCATCGGTTCCCAATTGCGCAGATCGATGTTCATGCTGTTGAACACTGGATTGTCTGGTCCAGACTCGATTATTTACAGACCGCCGCCATATAGCTTGAATATTGCGGGGTGCGGCGTAAAACTAAACTCACTCACTCACTCTCGGTAAATGTTCATGTCAAGACCTCTTTACGTTACGACTGCCGATATTACAACAGTCTATAGTACAGTAACATGTTAGTTACGATCGGCTGTACGTTAAGATCGCTTTCTGCAACTGGAGCATGTATTCATGGACACGTATGTTAGGCGTGTTTACTGTTAAGAGAATACTGTTTAAAACAGAACCCGATGCAGTGGTCAGTAGTATGAAGGGGATTGAATCCGAACTGATCCGACTGCTGCTTGTACACACCTGGGTGACAGCGGGTATTTCCAGAGACTGTAGAGCGTGTCTGGGGAGAGCACCGCTGTACTGGATAGTAATGCCATTTCTCTGAGCAGCCAGACCCATGTCAATCAACCATTTTCTGCCCAGTGTCAGGCTTGTGTGGAACTCGTTGATCAACAGCGCTTGTTCCTTCATCCAGTCCTGAAAACGGAAGAGTTTTTTATCACCCCTCATGCATCTAAGCTTTACATTTCGTATACACAGGACTTTGTGTCGAATATGGAGCAAGGGAGGTAATACACAAGGATGGACTGGTGACTGACTGACTGAGTTTGGTTTTACGCCGCTTTTAGCAATATTCCAGCAACATCACGGCGGGGGACACCAGAAATGGGCTTCACACATTGTACCCATGTGGTGATTCGAACCCGGGTCTTCGGCGTCACGCGCCAACGCTTTAACCATTAGGCTACCCCACCGCCCGATTGACTGGTGAGGTACAGAGAGTACCTTGTATATGTTTGAGTCTTGTACAGTCAAAAGATGTTGTGTGGGACTTAGGTTGTCTCGAATTAATAGCTTCGACACAACGATATTTGACTGTCTATGTTTGTGTCGGTTACTGTCGCCAAATATGCATTTTGAGGACACTAAGGATATACGACGAATACATAATTTGGTCTCGTACGTCCTTAGCTTCCAGAGCCCCTAAGTGTCCTTTTTGAACTTTCACTCCAAGACAAGACACTTGACCACAGTGCAAAGAGATCCCAGGTACCCTTTGCTAGTCAGTGACCTGCTGCAATCTGTATTGGTTGACTAAATATATATACTTGGAAGAGGCTTGGAGGAAGAACGACTGTCCATGAATACATGCCACGATTTATGGATAACAACTTCATCCTCTACCATGACGTTTCAGAGCTAGTTCTTGCTCTTTTATCAAGTAAAAAATCCATGAAACGTGCCATGTATTCATGTCCGTTTAAACTTCTATATGTCTTCAAGAACTTCATTCGACTATTGTTTGGAACTGCATTCAGTTTGAGATTCAAGCATACAAATTGATTCTCTATGAATCTGTGCCACATTGACATCGTTAAGCTTAATTCCTTTAAAATAGAAAAAAACCATACTGTTTAATATGTGCAACTTTTCATGATACCATGAAGAATATGTACCTGTTGGTATACTTTCAGACCCCAGTCCTTGGCTTTAGAGAAGAGGTAATCCCAAAAGTCCTGAAATTACAGAAACAGCCAAGAATCCCTGGCGTGTAAATTTACAGACATATTGTAGTAGAGAACTATATGTCGTCGCCATAAAACAGCGTAGGACACACAATTCATCATGTCTAATAATTAATTACGAATCCTAAGTATCATCCAGTCATATTTCATTGTTCAATAGCTTTAGGATATGAAAGTATGTTGAGGGCTTTATTTTCAGAATTATCCAGCTTATTGCAACTTAAGAACATATTGATCTATTAAACACATTATTGAAACTTTCCATCCAAATAAACACTTCTGACTTACGCCTCCAAGGGGAATAGCAGAAGACCCGCTGATCAAGAAGGAGAAATTGCCGCCATTTTGTTGTGCATATGACGTTTTGTTTGACCTTTAAAATTACAACAGCAAACATCAGTATAAAATACAACAAAGTGATCGTTCATGTCTACTTTACATGTTGCAATGAAAATCAAGAAAGTATTAAGTGACAGAGAAATTTATAATTGTCAGGACAACTATGTCTTAATACTGAAAGATCAATATATAAGCCGTTTGCTAGTTATCAAAGCACTGGTTATCTCTACCGGTGGTGAGACGTTAATGTAGTTTGTCGTTACTGCTTACCAAAACCCGTTCTGAAGAACAATCCCTAGTCCTGTTTTATCGTGCAGAAACCTACAAAAGTAAGTGAGTATCGTAACATATGTTATATTTGGGATAACACTTTCTTAGTAAAGTACAGATTCCAGTACTTTTTGGCCCGTGAGTGAGTATCAGTGTATATTTACATACGGTTTTACGAAGTCTACTAGTTCATTACTATCTTTGTAATAAGTCACGGGCCACGTTGACTCGTAATCGCCTGTACCCAGTGTTTGGCGTATTTTTTGTTCATTATTTAACTTCACATTAGTCAAATACGCCAGCTATATGATGTAGGCCACTGTATGCAAATTTCCTAATCCGATCTATTGGGTAAATCTGTCAACTGCTGGTCTGAATGGTCTACGCTTACTGCACGCATATACACACGCACACACGCATTTACACACGCACACACTTCACACCACACAGACACATCACATATAAAAACCACATGCCATGCGTACGCACGCACGCACGCACGCACGCACACACGACTATTTGTATATGCATTTTCGCCAACTTACATATCAACTTGAAAACTTAATACATTTCAAAACATTGACTGATGAGCTTCTCAAACATTGGTACAACAGTATGGCAGTTCATCAGATGATACATACGTAAGACCGTCGGGTACTGTGTCGTTCCTCGGTGTCAGGGAGATCGTGCCGTTGTTGTCGTCGCGCTGATAGAGCCAGTTATCCAGTTGTATATATCTGAAACATGTGATTACATCTGACAGTGGGAGATGGGACATACGGGGTCACGGGCAAGACTACTGGACCATATGCTGGCACACTGTGAAACTACTTAACCGTTTATCATTTGAAAAAGTTCGGTTACATTGACTGGAAGCGACCAGTTCGTGTATCCCTCTGACGTGCAAGTCTGGGTAACAACAAGTACCATTATTTACTGGAGAGTCGAACAACTGACCTCAGGGTTTTACCTTGACCAACAAAATAAGGGATCCACAGTTCCCCCACTTACTAATTTTAAAGATCGGTACGGGAATTACGAGGGTTCTGTGAAGTGATGAAATGATGACATTGTGTTAGTCTGTACTGTAAGGTTTCTTGATCACTTTAATAACAAGAACTTTATATTGAACAGTGAATATTATTGTGTGTCCAACAGGACACAGCATATATATTTTTCTGCGTCCATTCTATATATGTGTGCGGATTAGACGCACAGTTCTGTAAAACAATGTTACCTCCAGGCAGAAGCTTTACCATGCCACACAGTGTGCATAGCAGGCTTATACATAGGGAGGACACCATCGAAATACAAGCTACCCTTAGTTCAAAAAAGGCGAGTGTAGATAATACTTTGTACCGAAAATAAGGTTATACAAGCATCGCCATACATTTGACACCAATTGCAATCTGATCAACGTGGTATTACTAAGAAAATACATGGTCGAAAATGGTTCAATGCCAGATGATCCTTACGTTGGTGATATCAGTAATATATTTTGTTTATAGAATTAGTATATGGCACATTATGTGTAACATACTTGTAGGGTACGTTCTTCACTTTCAGGCTTTCTTTCAGTTCCAGAATTGTGTCTTCGTAATCTTTACCTTCCTCTGGAGCATCGTAATAGGCCGTGCCTGTATCAGTTCAGCACATTTGCTGTAAGTGCGTTAAGAAAGGCGAGAAGTGCACAACACACGCACGCACGCACGCACGCACGCACGCACGCACGCACGCGCTCGTGTACATGATACAAAGTACTCTTATATGCATCAGCGTTAGATTGTGACCAAAATAAAACAAAGCAGAAAGCGACCTATGTAATTTGGATAATTATATCAACCGTAGTGGTTTTACCTTACTTTTGCGGGGCCTAATGGTTAGAGCATTCGCTCGAAACGCTGAAGATCCGGGTTCGATTCCCCACATGGGTACAATGTGTGAACCCATTTCTGGTGTCCCCCGCCGTGATATTGCAGAAATATTGCTAAAAGTGGCGTAAACCCATACTGACGTCTTATGTTTACAGTGTCACGGCGACTGTTTTGATGATGTTAGTGATACTGTCGTCAAACCTAATTTCCGCACATTTACTCAGATCGAATGTTTCGAAACATTCAATGATTGAACGCCGGGTTGAACTGTCAGGGCTATTTTAATGTCGATTTGGACAAATTCTAATCATGTTGATGTGGTCACTCACCTTCGTCTGTCCAGTAGCCCATGTGGTTCAGGGTGAAGTCACTTTTTCTCAAGTCAGTTTTTCCATACCACTTCCTCATGAGATTTCCCCATCCTTCAAACGCCTGTAAATAAGTGTTCGAATATATCAATTTCAAAAGTAAATATATTTTCTAGCGTCATTAAAAGATTCATATCAAAGGCTTCTCAGCTTGTGGACAACGGCGTACATGGTAAATACTCCAAACCGCGTGCAATAAATACACCTTTTCAAAAGGAAAGTCAGTAGAAATCGTGTAAATAAAGATATGCTAGACAAGATTAATAAATAAATATATTGTTATACAAGTTTTTGCCTTTACGTTTTATGGATAAATGACAAGGGGAAAATGGTGTGTGTCAGTTTTTAATAAACATTGTTTCACTGGACTGATTGTTTATCATCGATCATTAGTGTTCAGTCGGAGGCGGATCTAAGGTTTTCCAAGCGAATAAGCTGTTACAGAGGTAGACAAAAGAATATGGCGTACATTCTTTAGATAAGATAGAGTGTGATATGTATATTTAAGATTAATATTGTCAGTTGTATTTCAATTTTTCAATAATTGTTCTGTTGATATATTTTTACGTGTAGGGTTTAATTGTGTGTATAATATAAGGTAGTCGGCGATATAATGATGGGTGTTTTAATCAAGACTATGCGTATTTAATCAATTGATCCGTTTTGTAGACTCTTGAGCAAGAAACACATGTTATGCTTGTGTCTTTGGCGATGCTGCACAATGTCGTAAAGCAATACAATAACGATATTCAACGAGGAGAGTTCTATGGATATACAACTTCTTTAATATAATATGAGCGACGTTTCGGTGTAGCTACTAACACCGTTATCAAGCAAAGGATCACACACATATATACGGTGTTAGTAGCTACACTGAAACGTCGGTCATATTATATTAAAGAAGTTGTATATCCATAGACCTCTCCTCGTTGTTCATCACACCAACCTCTAAATGCCACTCAAACAAGAAATAACGATGACGGTGGCCGGTAAATACTTGAGTCTGGACCAGACAATCCTATGACTGACATTGTGGCAACATACAACTAGGGTACAATAACACGCCTTTAAGCAGGTAACCTTGCATGAACACCCGTCCCTTTAAGTCGCCATTGATAAGGAGTTGTTAACTCCTCAATATCGTTAATAGATTTAACTTCATGTTCACCCAGATCTCTCAAGCTGTATGTCTACTATATATATGACAAACAGCTTATTTCAAAAGAAAATATTCTGAAATTATTCAAGTAGCAATGCAATTATTCAAGTGCTGGACACTAGCTTTACAGCCTATATAACACGAATATGCTTACATTGTTTATTCCTTCGCCGTAATACACAATTGTCTGGTATTCAAATCCAGCTGGGATGAAGTCAACGGTTCCCATGATGCCCCAGTGAACACTTCCCTGGAAGAACGCTCTGTTATCCAGCCACGTTGACGCGGACATAAACTGGTTGAAAGGGGAGATAACTAACGCACTTCCGGTAGGATTGAACATGCAGAGTGGTCCCCCTTCATATCCGTCACGAATGTCTATACCATTTGGATTCGAAGCATCGTACCTGAAAAGGTAACATCACAAGAAGGGCTTCAATCCTGTAACATCATCATCATCATCATCAGAGAGAGAGAAATGGCAACGTGAAGTCGATGTTACGTGCAGTTTGATGATATGTTTATCATATACTCTTGATCGGTGTACATATTGCGTCTGGTGCAATCAACTTTTATGTCACCCTGCGTTTTTGCAGTGTTCACCATTTCCAAAACCTTATTGATATACTTTCTACATACTCAGTACTACCATATACACATATCCACACACTGCCTGTATTACGTGTGTTCAGTAGTGAAGTCTTGTTTGTGGGTACAGAAACCATAACTCGTGGTGACCATGCTCAGAGAGGGACCATTATAAAGTGTAATGGAGCATAGCTCAATTACATTGACACGACGGAAACCTATGATCATGGGTTTATTCCTCAAAGTGTACACGAACTAGAGAATCATGTATGTTTTTACGTGTGGGTTACTGATCACCTCAAGCTAAACACTCCAGGTTTACTTTTATTGAAGTATGGGCTTAAGATAAATATAGCGTTCTTCCTGACAAACAAATATCAATTCATGACAAATGGCACATCTAACAGTACTACTGACGTTGACGATGTGTTGAATTTATAGGTCATATTTACGTTGACATTGATTTCGCTTCGTCTCCAAGCCAGCTTCCTCCAAAGGAAAGATACCCAACGTTTGCGACTGACGGGAAGAAGAACTCGAAGTTTGGGAATCCTCCAATGACAGACACATTTTGTGGCGCCCTTGTTCCTGGTGTGTCCTTCAGGAATTTCTGAAATTAGTATTTGTGCCAGTTAAGATACACCATCCAGGACTGAGTTTGTTGATTGGTACGTAAACATGCTTACTTATGCAGTCAAGTCTGCTGACAAAACTGTCATTGCCACGTCAGCACAGACTAAAGGTGACAATCACGCCCGGCACATTACTCACAGGATGCCACTTCGTGCTTAATAGAACACGAAACTGCTCGTTATGACACAAAATTAAATATTTTCTACTGCATCAAGTATTGGCCTAAAAATGTATTTACTGCTACATGAAAAACGTACAGAATACTTACCTTACACAATAGGATTTGTTAGACTCAGTATAGCAGTGTAATGAATAATACTGAGCCTAAGTTTATCTGGACTGTGTGACAAGACAACATGTACATTTACCTCACCGAATAACACAGCCGGCACACCAATACTTTCTGTGACAAGACAACATATGGAATATTTACCTGACCGAATAACACAGCCGGCACACCAATACTTTCTGTGACAAGACAACATATAGAATATTTACCTGACCGAATAACACAGCCGACACACCAATACCTTACTGTGACAAGCCGGCACACGACACAACAATACTTACTGTGACAAGACAACATATAGAATATTTACCTGACCGAATAACACAGCCGGCACAGCAATACTTACTGTGACAAGACAACGTGTATATCACAGCCGACACAACAATACTTGCTGTGACAAGACAACATATAGAATATTTACCTGACCGAATAACACAGCCGGCACACCAATACTTACTGTGACAAGACAACGTGTATATCACAGCCGACACAACAATACTTACTGTGACAAGACAACATATAGAATATTTACCTGACCGAATAACACAGCCGGCACACCAATACTTACTGTGACAAGACAACGTGTATATCACAGCCGACACAACAATACTTGCTGTGACAAGACAACATATAGAATATTTACCTGACCGAATAACACAGCCGACACACCAATACTTACTGTGACAAGACAACGTGTATATCACAGCCGACACAACAATACTTACTGTGACAAGACAACATATCGAATATTTACCTGACCGAATAACACAGCCGGCACACCAATACTTACTGTGACAAGACAACATATTGAATATTTACCTGACCGAATAACACAGCCGACACACCAATACTTACTGTGACAAGACAACGTGTATATCACAGCCGACACAACAATACTTACTGTGACAAGACAACATATAGAATATTTACCTGACCGAATAACACAGCCGGCACACCAATACTTACTGTGACAAGACAACATATAGAATATTTACCTGACCGAATAACACAGCCGGCACACCAATACTTACTGTGACAAGACAACGTATATCACAGCCGACACAACAATACTTACTGTGACAAGACAACATATAGAATATTTACCTGACCGAATAACACAGCCGACACACCAATACTTACTGTGACAAGACAACGTGTATATCACAGCCGACACAACAATACTTACTGTGACAAGACAACATATAGAATATTTACCTGACCGAATAACACAGCCGGCACACCAATACTTACTGTGATCGCCAAGACAACATGTATATCACAGCCGACACAACAATACTTACTGTGACAAGACAACATATAGAATATTTACCTGACCGAATAACACAGCCGGCGCAATACTTACTGTGACAAGACAACGTGTATATCACAGCCGACACAACAATACTTACTGTGACAAGACAACATATAGAATATTTACCTTGACCGAATAACACAGCCGACACACCAATACTTTCTGTGACAGAACACGTGTGTATATCACAGCCGACACAACAATACTTGTTTGTGACAAGACAACATATAGAATATTTACCTGACCGAATAACACAGCCGAAACCTGTACTGTGACAAGACAACGTGTATATCACAGCCGACACAACAATACTTACTGTGACAAGACAACATATAGAATATTTACCTGACCGAATAACACAGCCGACACACCAATACTTACTGTGACAAGACAACGTGTATATCACAGCCGACACAACAATACTTACTGTGACAAGGCAACATATAGAATATTTACCTGACCGAATAACACAGCCGAATAACACCAATACTTACTGTGACAAGATAATACAACGTGTATATCACAGCCGACAACAACAATACTTACTGTGACAAGACAACATATAGAATATTTACCTGACCGAATAACACAGCCGACACACCAATACTTACTGTGACAAGACAACGTATATATCACAGCCGACACAACAATACTTACTGTGACAAGACAACATATAGAATATTTACCTGACCGAATAACACAGCCGACACACCAATACTTACTGTGACAAGACAACGTGTATATCACAGCCGACACAACAATACTTACTGTGACAAGACAACATATAGATATTTACCTGACCTAATAACACAGCCGGCACGCAATACTTACTGTGACAAGACAACGTGTATATCACAACCGACACAACAATACTTGCTGTGACAAGACAACATATAGAATATTTACCTGACCGAATAACACAGCCGACACGCACCAATACTTGCTGTGACAGAGACAACGTCATGTATATCACAGCCGACACAACAATACTTACTGTGACAAGACAACATATAGAATATTTACCTGACCGAATACCACAGCCGGTACACCAATGCCTGCTGACACAGACAACGTGTATATCACAGCCGACACAACAATACTTGCTGTGACAGAGACAACATATAGAATATTTACCTGACCGAATAACACACAGCCGACACGCAATACTTGCTGTGACAGAGACAACGTGTATATCACATACCGACACAACAATACCGTGACCAGAGACAACATATAGAATATTTACCTGACCGAATAACACAGCCGGTACACCAATACTTACTGTGACAAGAGACATATTGAATATTGTTTACCTGACCGAATAACACAGCCGACACGCCAATACTTACTGTGACAAGACAACGTGTATATCACAGCCGACACAGCAATTGCTTACTGTGACAAGACAACATATAGAATATTTACCTGACCGAATAACACAGCCGCCACGCAATGCACTGTGACGAGAGACCAACATATAGAATATTTACCTGACCGAATAACACAGCCGGCACACAATACTTACTGTGACAAGACCAGCGTGTATATCACAGCCGACACAACAATACTTGCTGTGACAAGACCAAACATATAGAATATTTACCTGACCGAGATAGCACAGCCGACACACCAATGCTTGCTGTGACCAGAGACAACGTATATGTCACAGCCGACACTGTAATACTTACTGTGACAAGACGGCATATAGAATGTTTTACCTGACCGAATAACACAGCCGACACACCAATACTTACTGTGACAGAGACAACGTATATATCACAGCCGACCGCAACAATGCTTACTGTGACAAGGCAAACATATAGAGATATTTACCTGACCAGATAACACGCAAGCCGACGAACCGCAATACTTACTGTGACAAGACAACGTGTATATCACAGCCGACACAACAATACTTACTGTGACAGCCGACAACATGACAAGAATATTTACCTGACCGAATAACACAGCCGACACACCAATACTTACTGTGACAAGACAACATGTATATCACAGCCGACACAACAATACTTACTGTGACAAGACAACATATAGAATATTTACCTGACCGAATAACACAGCCGACACACCAATACTTACTGTGACAAGACAACGTGTATATCACAGCCGACACAACAATACTTACTGTGACAAGACAACATATAGAATATTTACCTGACCGAATAACACAGCCGACACACCAATGCCTGTGACAAGACAACATGTGTATATCACAGCCGACACAACAATACCTTACTGTGACAAGGCAACATATAGAATATTTACCTGACCAGATAACACAGCCGACACAACATATTGAATACTTACTGTGACAAGAGACAACGTGTATATCACAGCCGACACAACAATTACTGTGACAGGACGAACATATAGAATATTTACCTGACCGAATAACGCAGCCGGCACACCAATGCTTGCTGTGACAAGACAACATATTAGAATATTTACCTGACCGAATAACACAGCCGACACACCAATACTTACTGTGACAGAGACAACGTGTATATCACAGCCGACACAACAATACTTACTGTGACAAGACAACATATAGGAATATTTACCTGACCGAATAACACAGCCGGCACACCAATACTTACTGTGACAAGACAACGTGTATGTCGCGCGACCGACACACAATACTTGCTGTGACAACTATATAGAATATTTACCTGACCGAATAACACAGCCGACACACCAATACTTACTGTGACAAGAGACAACGTGTATATCACCAGCCGACACAACAATACTTGCTGTGACAGAGACAACATATAGAATATTTACCTGACCGAATAACACAGCCGATTTTTCCAATGCTTACCTGTGACAAGACAACGTATATATCACAGCCGACACACCAATACTTACTGTGACAAGGCAACATATAGAATATTTACCTGACCGAATAACACAGCCGACACACCAATACCTGTGACAAGACAACGTGTATATCACAGCCCGACACAATAATGCTTACTGTGACAAGACAACATATAGAATATTTACCTGACCGAATAACACGATACCGACACACCAATGCTTACTGTGACAAGACAACGTATATCACAGCCGACCTGGCAACAATACCTGTGACAAGACAACATATAGAATATTTACCTGACCGAATAACACAGCCGACACGCAAATACTTACTGTGACAAGACAACGTGTATATCACAGCAGACCGACAATGCTTACTGTGACAGACAACATATATGGAATATTTACCTGACCGAATAACACAGCCGACACGCCAATACTTACTGTGACAGAGACAAACATGTATATCACAGCCGACACAACAATACTTACTGTGACAAGGCAACATATAGAATATTTACGATGACCGAATAAC